AGCATATTTCGAAGGAAGAGCGCAATATGATTGAAAACTCGTTGGGACATRACAAACGTATAACGGAGAATGATAATGTGGAGCATACTGTACCATGGAAACATATTTTTACATCGAAGCATTTTTTGGTAGTTCTCTTGAATCATTGTGCCAACGATTGGTGCTTTTGGACCTTGCTCACACAAATACCATCGTATATAAAAAGTGTGCTCGGAAAGGATATTAAGAGTAATGCATTAATCTCTGCGCTGCCATATCTTTCTATGTTTACTTTATCCATAATACTTTGTCCATTGGCGAGTTGGTTGGAGAAGTCGAAACGCTTGAAGGCAACTGTAAGTCGTAAGGTCTTCAACACGATCGGCCTATGGATATCTGCCACAATGCTCGTTTCTTTGGGCTTCTTGCGTAAAGATCAAGGCGACGTAGCGATTGCCTTGCTAACTGCAACCGTTGCCATTAGCACCACTTCGCATTTTGGTTATTCAGTGAATCATTTGGACTTGGCGCCAAATCTAGCTGGCACTCTACTGGGTATTGCTAATTGTGGCGCCAACATGATGGGTGTTATAGCGCCGCTCCTTGTTGGTTACATTGTTACCGATACGGTTAGTATTTCAGAAGACTAGAAAGCTGTAATATATCCGGATGTATTGTTGCTCTTCTTGTAATTTTCCAAACAGACAAATATCCACCAATGGCGCATAATATTCTTCATCGGYGGCGGCTTTGCTTTTATAGGAAATTTCTTCTTTCTCATTTTCGGCACCACTAAGGTTCAGTGGTGGAATGAGCGACCACGCATAGTTTCGGAGGCTGAACAACTAGAGCAGCTTGTCRTTAGTTTGGATAAGACTATCACTACTAGCAACACCATTAAAGAACCTGCTGGAGATATTGAAAAATGTGATGTGGAACAAAGTACCGTTTAATTTGTATTTTGGGGTAGTTCTTGCCAAAGTGTTATTGATAGTATGTTCTTAATTAAAATTATTTTATTTTTTTATGTAATGAAGTTCGGAAAGCCACTTATATAAATTAATTTTGTTTTCCCAAATAATCTTTTTCAAACGGCGCTACTTTAATTATATTTATAATTTGTTCAAACATTTTTTTTATATAATTTCTAATTTAAATTTAAATATATAAACTTAATATTTATGCCTTTTGTTACTTAAGTCATGAAAATAAACGCTCAATTTTAAAGAGAATCMCTGTTAGAAGCCTTAAGAGACTGGTGTTCATCGTTACCTTATTCTGATAACTTTACAAATCAAGCGCATAACCTTACTTCATCGTACAATAACCTACCTCAACATAACCTGATCAAAGTAAGCTACCGTGTTTTTATTCTGCTACCCTACGAGTTCTCTTTCACCCTTTAGTTAAGATACTTCTTTTGTCTCCAAAATATTTCTCTAAATATTTATAAGAATTACAYTAGGCGCTCTTGAAACCAAGTCTCGCAAGCTCAAGTGCATTGCTAAAGGTAAGTGTGTCAGGGATCATGCTCTGTCATTTCGACAGTTCACATMTTTGTGTAATATGTAAGAAGTTCAAGAGCCATATTTCAAAAGCGATTAAGTCTCTAGTACATACAAAATTATATCTTTGAACGTTTACGAGTATGTATGTATATATAGTATATATAATTTATATACTTACTTATTTCAAAGGTGATTTCATTTCGAATTTTCCTACTTTTTTAAAGAAAAAATACAGAAACTTCATGTTTATCAATCAAAACAACTATTTCTGGCTTTTATTTTATGAAAATTATCTCTTTCAAATGTTGGCCGCGGCTAAGTCTCTTATGGTCCATCCGTTGAGTTCAATTTCGATGACTCGTTCGAGCATTTCAAGTGGTAAACGGCGATTGACACGCGTGATGTGCATAGACTTTAGCCTTTATATTATATATCCATTCAGGAAAAGTCTAACGGTATGATATTACACGAGCTTGGTAGATCTTGGTAGTTGTTTTCTCACCTGCGCGATAACGGTCGCCATTGGTGGTTGCGTTCTCAACGGCATCATTTTTAAAGAAGTATAGACTGATGACTCCGTCGGCCTATAGACCACACCAAACAAGTCGCTCTTCGTCCCATATGTGGCAATTTTGCTTATTTACATACCYATTGAGCCAGAAATGGCACTCATATCTGAACAAAATTTGGCTCGAAAAGGTCGGATCTTTTTAGAACTTTTCAAGAGCCCATAGAATAGTCCGAAACTTTGTCACTTGGGAAGGTCGAGCGGCTTCAGTTCTTACATAAGCTCCACGCTCTTCGTTTACACTTTCAAATACGGCTCCTATATTTTCTTCTCTACGTGCTGGACTTGGTCTATTTGGTCGAATATTATTCATGCGTGGTATTGAGTTACCCGTTAAATTTTTATATATACCATATTACTCACTTCATGTGACGCAACTACCGATTATTACCATTTTATTACGTAAGCGTCTGCTGGTAATCTAAGATGAGATTTGGAATAGTTATCAAAAAGCCAACACACTGCTTTATACAAAACTGTCAACTATGTTTACTCCTGGTGTGAATCGGCTGACAGATGTCATGCAAATAACTGTGTTAATGGTTGTTGACACTTCGTGGAAATAAATTTAAACTTTTTTTAACGTGAGTGTTTTTTATTTTTATTTAATGCAGAGAGATAAATAAAATATATGTTTATATAATAATTATAGCCATTTGGTGGCGTCACGGAATTTCTTGCTATGTACTAAAGTCTTTAGATTTTTGTACAATATTTGCATATGAAGTTAAACCAAGTAAAGAAAAAGTGTAGTTAGSTTTACTAACTAGTTCTCAAGAAAATGTCTCATAGCAACTACTATATACAGTCCTCTGGGAAATATAAAAAACTGATCTACTGTTATTCGATCTCATAAGTTAAAAATGAATCAATACAAATCTGCTCATGCGATTTACTTCTATTCCACCAGCGTGTCTGAAAGTGTGAGCATCCTGGTGTTTCAACTTTGAACTCGCAAAGACCGATAGTTGTTTCTACCTCGCTTTATTCCAAATACCTCCTACAACTGGCATTCTCATCATTCGGACATCGATAAGGCATTGATCATTAAGTACCGCTACAACTAGAGAAATCACATCTTGCTGTAGGTAAAAATCTTACTATACTTCTTGTAATCTACTTTGGACAAAAAAACGCAGTTCCAAAACTAATGTAGGTCTATAACTACCTTAACAATTTCAACGTTTAGAAAAAAAAACCGCACAACAGTCATATTCAAAGTTATACTCAAGTTAAAACGTGTTCCCGGAGGATAGAGTCATGTGAAGAAGTTCACGCGAGTGCGGAATATTCTCTGAACGCCATTCACTTGGAAATGGCCAGAAATGATTCCTTTACGTATGGCTCTGCAGCTTAGGACTTCCGGCAACAGCGTATAGCGCAGTAGATGAAACGATAAGCTGTACGAGTCATGTCGTCCGAATGGACGAACACACTCCAGTTCTGAAAGTATTAAACGCAGTATCCGCCCGATGAAGCAGAGGAAGAGGAGACCTCCACACCGTTGGAAAGATCAGTTAGAGATACCGATCAAGAATGAATTAAGTACTATTCTAATGTGAACTATTTTCGTGAATACGCTCTGCATAGACCGACTGAAATGTTTTTTGGTAGGGACCAATAATTGCAACTTGTGATTTGTTTTCCATTAGATAAGTTGTTGTCAGTGGCGTTCTCCGGCCTGAATCCAAATTGAATACATCCGTCTGCTTTCAAACTTTTTCTCATTTTCATGGCGTTCTTTGTCTTGCAAGCCAAAATTATTACTTTTAAACCAAGCAAAACCGCTTTCTGCTAGAACTTTCTCCAAAAAAAGTTGACTTTCGGCTGAGACTTTCCTTATATCAAAAGAGCAACTCACCGGAAGAATACTTTTCGGGCACAAAGTTTGCCACTTAGGTCCAAGTAAATAAATGCTTTAGGAATGAAGTGAGAATATGGCACACAAACTAAACATAGTAATGAATATAAAACAGATGTCCGCATTATAATTTTATTTACTAYGAAAGCTTTTGGATTATGCCATAAAAGTTTCACTCATCTTTTCGCCTTGACAATGATGAATGTGATATATAGTATTATAAGACGAAAAACGTGTATAGTGCGACGTCAACGATAACCCTTTTTGGACTTTACAAAAGAAAGATATTGGTAGCAGATTAAATCGTTTCCAAAACGGTCATTTGCACGATATACCGAGATTTTTAACCTTCCACAGATCGTCAGTATGGCTTTAGGGTATAAAGGTGTTTGTAGCAGATTAAAAGCACAGCGATTTTGACATCGTTTTCACGATAGCCAGGTTTTCGAAGAAACTGAATTTTTAATCTACTTGTAGAAAAATATTGGTAGCAATGTCCCATAACAAGCAGGTCTCTGACCGACACGGCATTTTATAACTTTGAAGAGTTGTCAATTCTGCAATATTTCCCAAAAATACTTGGAAGATACTTTCAATTCCCACAACAACATTAAGAAACTGTACTGCTATATTTTAGAATCACATTTCATGTTTTGAATAAACTGCCCAGCATCGGAATTATTTTTTCCAAATTATTTTAGCTACGGAAATACCAAATTCCTAACGTTTACACTTTTGTAAAAAATAATTTTATCTAGAATTAAACTTTATTTTATCTAATACATATCACTTTTTATCAAATAGATAAACATTAGGTACCAAATTGCCTACTTCAAAGAATACAGTAGCATCGGTTCTCTGACATACGCATATATACTGGTCGCTGTTTTATAGTAATATCACGCTACCTGCACTCCTATCTACTTATCCATGCATTTGTATTTGTCTAATTAAACTTTTTTTTGCTTATGAACTTATCTAAGGACTTAAAGCGATTAACACACCTGATATGCCTTCCCGATTCGGTGGTATGTCTATATAATGGACATAACTGATTTGGTTGTTATCATTTGATCTTAGAAGTTCAAATTGAACGCTAAAACTAAGCGCTAGCGCATAAGCTTAACGAGTGTAGTGCCGTTAGGAAGTGCCACTTAAYGCGCGAGTCACGTTCGGTAGTGAACACCCGAGTGCTAGGATTCATACATACGTATAGTGTACCGCTCGATTTGTGATTGCCATAGTACTGAAGTGRTTATTAAGTGGAGCAACAAGGGCTAATATGGGCACAAGTAGGCGCTCCTCAAGCTTGGCAAAGTGTATGTGTTTATTATACAAGGTCTGGTGAAARGAAATTCATTATTTTTCCAATAGATGGTTTAACAATTTGTGTCTATTGCGTTATATAAGTGGAATCGTGTTATGCTATATGGTTCTAATGCCATAAAATTTCTTACTAGAAAAGACAATTAAATAATTGATTAATTGTTTGCCTCGGTTTGTTTTGAACACGCGTCAAATGTGGATAGCAGCAAAGAGAATTTTGCTTCGACAAAGACGATAACGCAAGCCAGGTAGTTGAAAATGTGAATTATATTTATGGTCCTGATTCTGGTCACACCTAATCGTACGTAATTTGGGTTTCGTCTATTCCGGTCCGGTAATTTTGATGYCAGAACTGTCCCACGTTGTGAAAGGCTAATTGTCAAAAGTATCGATCAAAAAATGGAAATCGTCGAGTACAACAGTCATGTGAACGCTGACTCGATTTCTTTGTAGCTAAACATGGTTCAAAACTCCGTTCGGCACCATTTATATAAGGCTGAATATGAAAAGTGTCTAGATATATGGATGCCACTCCGAGAGCTGAGTTGGGATAAACTTATACAATCAACAATGGTCTGAGTTTGGTTTCCAGTGCTTACTATCTGTTCCTCTATACGGTGAATAATAAAATCACCTCAAGAGAAGCTGGTAAAACGACTGTGTCAATTTTTTTGAGAATAGGGACGAGGGTTTCTCTAAGATTGTGTATGGCAAAACTTTGTGAACTAAAATATTTAATTTATTGTAAAAATAATGAATTCATTTCTATAGACCAAGTACTAGCATTTTAAAAAAGGGATCTCCCCGTGGATCCGCCCCGGATTAAGAGATTATATGTCAATTGTATGTATAACCATGAGTCTTTTGTGATATATTTGTAGTATTGCCGCCCACATTTGGTAGACGACATTTACAATGCTTTTTGATGTTTATCGGTTTCGCCGCCGCATTTTCGATGCGCGTTAATCTCTCCGTCGCAATTGTCGCGATGATGGACCGCAAAGCAGCAAATCCTGATTTCCCAGTAAGTAAAACATCTTAACATAATGAAACGATTCCATTTATTTCACATTTTACACACCACATCCTTGCAGGAATACCACTGGTCGGAAGAGACTAAGTCGCGCATACTCAGCAGCTTCTTTTGGGGCTATATTTGCACGCAAATTCCCGGCGGCATGCTGGCGCGGCGTTTCGGCGGCAAAGTGATGCTGTTTAGTAGTTTATCTATAAGCAGCATAATGGCGCTGCTGACTCCACTCGGCGTCGCCTATGGYGACTGGAAGTTGCTTTGTTTTATGCGTTTCCTACAGGGTTTCGGCCAAGGTGTTACTGTGCCGTCCATGCACACTCTACTCGCCAAATGGGCACCGGTAACGGAACGTGGCTCKTTGGCTACCTATGCTTATTCAGGTGCACAATTCGGTACTGTTATAATGTTAGCTTCAAGCGGCTGGCTCGCTTCCTCATTCATGGGCTGGCCAAGTTGTTTCTACATACCCGGCGGTTTGGGTCTYACCTGGACGGTTTTGTGGATAATTTGGGGAGCAAGTTCGCCCAGYGAATGCAAAAATATTACTGTAGCCGAACGTGCACTCATTGAGGGTTCACTGCAGCAGAACACTAAATCGCATGATGATGAAAAACCCAATTTGCCCATACCCTGGAAGAGTATATTCACATCCGTACCATTCTTAGTGCTAATGGCGACACATTGTGCTTCAACTTGGTGCTTTTGGACGTTGCTCACACAAATACCAACGTATATGAAGAGCGTTCTCGGTAAGGATATCAAAAGTAATGCGCTGCTCTCGGCATTACCCTACTTCACGATGTTGATTTTGGGTTTGGCGTGTGGACCGTTGAGTGATTTCTTGGAGAAGGGCAGCCATTTGAGCGCGACCACAAGTCGGAAGATTTTCAACTCCATTGGTCAATGGGTGCCRGTGCTCACCTTGATTTGGTTGGGTTATATAACACGTGAACAAGCGGACTTAGCGGTTTTCTTGTTAACCTTCACCGTGAGTATCAGCACGACAATGCATTTGGGCTGGCAAGTGAATCACATTGATTTGGCACCAAACTTCGCCGGCACGCTCGTTAGTCTGACCAACTGTGCGGCGAATGTTTGCAGCATTATTGCACCTTTAATTGTGGGATTTGTCGTCACCGATACGGTAAGTCTCTGGTTTTACATCAAGTGTTATTATAACCATTTAAACATGTTGCTTTTTGGACACTTTCAGAGTAACCCCAACCAGTGGCGCATAATATTTTTCATGGTGGCTGGCATCAACTTTTTCGGTAACCTGATGTTCGTTCTATTCGGCACCGCCAAAATGCAGCCTTGGAATAATGAGCGCGAACCAAAAGTTATTGACAATAAAATCGATACAGAGAAGGCGCAAGAAATGGAACCGCTAAATGAGGAAACAGCTGATGTTCCCATAACTAAAGCAGAGTCGCAAATGGTGGTTTGATTTTTAGTTAGTATTTTGTCRGTCAGTAGTTGTTGAATTAGCTTACTTGCAGTATTATTAAGATAAAATTTTCCTTGTGATTATACTCCGTAGATGTAGTTTTAAGTAGTTTTAGTATACTATCTTGAATTTAAGCTTTAGTTAAAAATATTTTATTGGTGTTAGGTATTTTGTAAGTAAGCAATATTTACACCGAAACCTTTGGTCTGTAGTGACCTTCAATATTTTAGCTAACGAGAACTCTTCAAATTGAATTTGTAAATGGTAGTGAGCACCTTTTCATGATAATAATATGATTTTGTATTAGAAATTTATAAAATTGGATAAATAAACCCTCAACCTCTATATATGTGATTTAAAGATTTTCGAACTTCGAGTTGATAAAGTGTCGGCTTATATGCGTATTAGGTTAATGGACAACTCATCTTAATAATACTGTGCCATTGTGGCTTAACTAAAATTAGGTGAATGCTTCCTTTAGCTCCTTCATACCCGACATAATAATTTTCGAATTTCCTTCTGACTTGTCGTGAGAAAGTTCAGCGCGTCTCTTATCCATCCATTTCTCTACATCCATATATTTCTCTTCGCTATATGAGCAAAGCCTGTGTGATGMAGTAATCCAAGTTTTCAATGATCCAGTTGAAGGATGAGAGAACGTCAGCGTGTCCTATTTTGGACCCCCTTATACATCTAGCTTTCCTGAGAATTAGAGCGCACTTCCCAGCAATGMACTTGCAACGGATGTTTTGTGCAATTGCTTCTTTTAGTCCGTTTCGAACGTCTTTCATTTTACGACAATACCAAAAGTTATATTGGCTTGACTATGGCCCCATTTGGTTTGAGTTCCGTCCTTGTCGTCGGCGTTTGCTGCACGGCAGCTCAGTTTATAGCGCTCCTTTAGCACAGTGCAAATAAAACATGTGGTGCTTGAGGTTCTATTCCAACTCAACCACCACACATTCCTGAATTCTCATTCGATGTCCAGAATGGTACCTACAGCATATTCCTTGTGTAAAAGAGAGCCCTTCTTTTGGCTAGTTCTGCTTTTTCCAAGCTAGATAAGCAAACGACATAAATGGGAAAAACAGTTGTCGCATTCTCGAGTTGACTKCCACGTCRCTGCTGATAGTCATAACTTARAAGTCGAATATAACTTCGTGTATCTTAGAACTGGCAATAAAACC